TCATTACTCCAGCTTCAAGGTCACAATCACAAATCAAGGTCAAAGATCATTGTCTTGGCCATAACTTTTTATCTGCTAAATATAATTTAATCTAACTTGATGCATGCATCATCACTGAACTGCGTGTCACATACACTTTTCATCGCCTCTATATCAAGGTCACAAATCAAGGTCAAAAGGTCTTTGCTCATTCGGGCCATTGCTATACATTGCTGTAAAATATTTTGTTTATGGGCATATAATGTGCCATAATGGTACTCTTGTTTTTAAAGTAAGTTTTATAGTTGTGGAAAAACAAGTAAAAGTTTTTTAAAAGTATTTCAGGTGAAAGTTTCCGTCCTGATTAGGAGTTCCAGATTAAAGATTCAGATCTGAGGCAACAATAACTGTGTAAAAATCAACACAAAACGTCTCCAAATATTTCTCGTTGCCTCGCAGGTTTGAAGGTCACCTGGGGGTCATCTGAAGAACCCCAGGGCGGGTCGGTTGGACGCACCAACATGCAGCAGGTTGTGTGTGTGCGTGTTAGTCCGTGATGGAGGAGTGCGTTATCCAAACAAATTTCACCCTGGTTTTTCTCAGCCTTGTTATCCCAGCTGGCTTTCTAGTTTCTCAATGGAGCTGCAGGTTTGTGTGCGTGCGTGTGCGTGCATGTGCGTGCATGTGCGTGCATGTGTGTGACGGCGAGAGGAGGGAAGGCTAACTGCTGTTAAACAGCAGTTTTAGAGGATTAGGTGGTTTTGGAGCACAAAGGCTCTGCGTGCAGCAGAGAAAGAAGTTGAACAGCAGAGGGAGGACGGACGGAAAGAGAAGAGCTGGACGTGTGTTTGGGAGGGACTTCAGAGGGAGGGGGTCAACGACGTGAACGTAGAGCCTCGCTGGTTTTCCACAGCCTTGATTTTTCTGTCCAAACATTATAATTATGGTTATTTCAGTTGTTTGTATGTTATCTAGTGCAGTATTTAGTAAATCTATAATACTTGGAGGCTCATTGTGTACATGTTCGCTCTATTTGTTTAATAATTTAAAAATCTGATAACTCGAAGAAGCGTGAAGCAGTTTTAGGCAGCCCCTTCAGTCAGAGACAGCGTTGTTCCAAGGACACACTGAAGCAAAAAATCCAAACGACACGTTTCCTGCTTGTTCCTACTTGCAGAGACTATAACGACTCTTACAGAAACAAAATGGAAATGAACGTCTTCAAGAAGCCAAAGAGATTCAGTTCCTGCAGCTCTGAAGCTCTGCAGCTCTGAAGCTCTGAAGCTCTGAAGCTCTGAAGCTCTGAAGCTCTGCAGCTCTGAAGCTCTGAAGCCCTGCAGCTCTGAAGCTCTGCAGCTCTGCAGCTCTGAAGCTCTGCAGCTCTGAAGCTCTGAAGCTCTGAAGCTCTGCAGCTCTGAAGCTCTGAAGCTCTGCAGCTCTGAAGCTCTGAAGCTCTGAAGCTCTGCAGCTCTGAAGCTCTGAAGCTCTGAAGCCCTGCAGCTCTGAAGCTCTGCAGCTCTGAAGCTCTGAAGCTCTGCAGCTCTGAAGCTCTGCAGCTCTGCAGCTCTGCAGCTCTGAAGCTCTGAAGCTCTGCAGCTCTGAAGCTCTGCAGCTCTGCAGCTCTGAAGCTCTG